CGGGGCTCTCTTTTGTCACATATACATTGTGATAATATGTAAGTGTAAGTTGTTTGAGAGACTTAGGAGGTCTGAGATCTATTTTCACGTAGCTGGACGGCTCATACGTGCATAATCGCCCATGCAAATGCATCAGTATATATAAATCAACCCATAGCACACAATAGAATCGACGGCGAGTGTATACAGGCTATACCCAATGTCCAAAACCTAGCCCGTTAAGGGGGATGGGAAGATGCAGTTTAATGGTTGATTGGGAGATAGAATGCGGTAGCTCCTCGCAGCGGGGCCAAAAAGTGTAGTAGTCTGGCATCAGATATCAATTTCGCTAGTGTTCCTATATTACAGAAACACAACTAACAGTCTATCATAATCTAGCAAACGATGACTGCAGACCTCGGAAATTGACAGAAATTTTACATGAAAACTGATTGTCTCCAGCCACGCAATAGAACAGTGGTCCGACAATAGCATCTCCGCGTCCCGATCCCTGAGCACGATACTAGCTTCACTCTCTCCTCGCCGTTAAGTAGTCTTTTGAAGCCGGGAACATCACACGGTCAAATAGAATCAGCCGAGCCGCAATGTTGAGGCTCCTGTACCGGCTGTGGAAGTCTCGGAGTGCTTGCTTATATGTTGATGGAATGTTCTCGACCGGAGCAAATCGTGAATACTCCCTACCGGGGCAGTTTTGGCATACTCTGGTGCGTTCAACATACAAGGGAAGCGCACCTACCGTCCACCTCGGCTCTGCGTCCACGAAGGTCCTCGCTCCATTCACTCTGGTGTTCTGTTTACATCGAATACACCAAGTCTCGACAGCTTTAGAGCAATCACCCGGTGTGCTTTCTCGATGCCGAAAGTAGGGCTCAAGATTCCATTTATCCGTGGGTACGAACGGACGGGTCAATTCTGCCGGGTCTGCAACTACGTATTTGACAGCTGCATCAAGCGGACGGGGCTTAGTGTTGTGTTGGTGGCAGACGGGGCAAGTCCGCCCTGTTCTTACGATATACTGGCCTGGCCTGAAGACTGACCATCGAGGGTTATTGTCGGCTTTCGTTGATGGCATTTCACAGTGACTGCAACGAAGTGCCATGATTTCACCGTCGAACTTGCTGTGCCAGAGTCCTTGATGCTGTCCTGATGTAGATTTGAGTACTTCGGCTTGTCGATGTAAGATGTCGCTAAAAGACTGTTTCAATGATTGAGGATTTGTCTCAGTGTCGTTGTTTGGCGAAGCTAGAACACGCCTCATTGCTTGGGCAATGTCGTTGAAATTGGATATGATGCTGTCCGAAAATAGTATTTCCTTCTAGCCCCGGAACCACTCAAGAAGCCTCGGAGGCATGCTGTCGGGAGTTTCCCAGCGGTAGGGATCGGACGCATCAAGAGCTTCGAGGGCTAACGGGATCAGTTCCCTAAAAGCATCATTGCTATGGGGCATTTCATTGAAGAACGAGTCCCAAGCACCCCTATTTTGGCATGAAGCCAGTTCGACAGGCTCGTCAACACTAAGTATTGTTGCTGCAGACATCTCCAAATTGTGCTCCGAAATCTCTTCCAAAGCGCTCCTCTCTTTTATCTGAAGAAGACTGGGCACATGTGCGAACCATTTTCTTTCTGAGAAATAGTCTTTAATCCAGGGCACGCTTCCTCGGACCATAAGCGACGCTGCAAGCATTGTCTTGTCCTGCCGTATCGAGCGAAAAATTTGTCGGCGTTCAAAGAACATACGCTGTGGATGAGTGACCATCAACATGGCTCGACGGAACCTGAACCGAACGTCCCGATTGGCATAGTTGGATTCATAACTCAATAGCACTGTGATTCCGTCGAAGTCACCCCACAGAGGCAGCAACTCGAAGCTATGAGTTTCCAATAGGCGTTGCTGAACTTTCAGACCATAAATGATCTCGACCTTTGCCATCATTGACTCGGAAATATGATTTGTGAATTCTTCATGACAAGCTAATAGTTTAGGGTGGTGTTCTCGAATAGCTTCCGATCGTGCTTCTCTTCTGTGGACGTGGTCGAATAGGAGCGTGTTAGGTTCGTAGGCGTTGCCCATGACCATAGCGATACAGCCATTGGAATCGTCCGCAGTCTGACTATGCTCTGCGTGGAGGTTTTGCGTCGTCAAGGACGGCTGGTTCAAATGATGTGCCAGGGGTGATTGCAGTGATCCGGAGGGAACCACTAAATCTGCAGCTGATTTGTCTTGCCGTTGGACTGTTCTCCATAGATTAACTTCCTCGGTTTGAAATGCGGTGGAAGACTTATACTGATCTGAGATGGGAGGATCGCGAAGTTCTGAGTATTGAGTTAGCCGGTACATGTTTAAGTGGCTTAGATAAATGGCCTTGCCTTCCATGTTCCTTCCGTCGAGATCTTTCAGTGCATCCTCCAACGTTTCTGCAAGTTCCTTGAGTTCCGCGAGCGGTCTTGGCAGCACAAGGCCTAGGATATTG